ACATTGTGACAAATCCTCTTTCTGAAATGAATCTTTCATTGGCTAACACATCACTGTCTAGATTAAGAGCAAAATTCCTTAATGACGCATACGTGGCCTCTGTGATCTGATAGTCTTATTTCCCAATACTCTGGCTACACCCAGCAACTTGAGGCTCCCTGAATGTACACACACACTGATTCCTTCTTTCATGCTGTTTCCTTGTGTGCACTCTGCTGCCCCACACCACCACCACCCCACCAAGCTAGGTTCTGGCTGTGAGACTCAGCTCATGACTTACCCTCTGGGCAATGTTCCTTGTGTTCCAGTCCTTACAGTGCCATGAGTTTATTTCTAGGGTTGCTGTACCTATAACATGAAATTCTATTATGGTATACTTACCAATGAACTCTTTTTTTTTTTTTTTAAGTTTATTTTTGAGAGAGAAAGAGCAGGGGAGTGGTAGAGAGAGAGGGAGAGAGAGAATCCCAAGCAGGCTGAATCCCAGGAACCATAAGATCATGACCTGAGCTGAAATCAAGAGTCAGGGAAATCAACAAACACTCAACTGACTAAGGCCCCCAGATGCCCCACCAGTGAACTCTTGAGAACAGAGCTTTGTCTTTATCTTCACCCACTGAGCTTGTCACAGAGCCTAGGACATAGTATTTGAAAGATATTTGATAAGTGAATGAAAGAAATTATTGTAAGCTAATGGGTTTTGTGGGTCACAGAATTATACTGTTATTTCAAATACAGGTGAAATATGGATGATATTCATGTCCTTTCTTATGTGAATTTATCTATTTCATGATCCACATATACATACTTACTTAAACTGAATAAGTTCCTCCAAAATGTTAATCTTTCTATAAAGTAGATAGCATGGCTCAGTGGTTATCCATAACAAGTCTTTCCCCATGTTTCTACTTAAACCTTTCTGAAGATATAAAACCAAAATTCCGCTCTCAATTCTATATATGCAAAATGTAGAAATATCTATGAGAAAGATTATATATATGTGTATTTTCCTGACGTTCTACCTTTAAACACTTCACAGGTACTTCTAGGGTGCCTGGGTGGCTTAGTTGGTTAAGCGTCCAACTTCAGCTAATATCATGATCTCACGATTTGTGAATTCGAGTCCTGCCCTGCGTCAGGCTCTGTGCTGACAGCTCAGATCCTGGTTCTGCTTCAGATTCTGTCTCCCTCTCTCTTTCCCCCTCTCCTGCTTATGCTGTCTTCAAAACTGAATAAATGTTAAAAATAAAAGAAAAAAACCTTCAAATCATAGAGAAAAGATGGCAGCATAGGAGGACACTGGGCTCACCTTGTCCTGGTGATCACTTAGATTCCACCCACATGGGCCTAAAAATAACCCAAAAAACCCCTGGAAGACTAGCAGAATGGACTCTCGAGACCCAAGCATAGACAAGAGACCCACAGAAGAGGGTACAAAGGGAAGAGAGGCGGTGCATGCTGCACGGACTGGTGGGAGGGAGGTGGGGTAGTGGAGGGGCAGCCCTACAGGCAAGGAAGAACCCCCGAAGTCTGGCTTGCAAAAGGAGAGGGGCCAGACTCCGTGAGTTCTGACAGCCAGCAGGACTTAACATCTGGGATGTTAAAAGTCAACAGCTCTGCTCTCGGAGAGTAGGGAGGGCAAGAGGATGCCAGAAGGGAGAGTTGTTGAGCCCAGAAGACAGAGCTCAGCTCAACAGGGGAACAAAGGTGCTGGCAATCTCCATCTCCCTCTCCCATCCCCCAGCCGAAATTCCAAAGGGAACCAGTTCCCATCACCAAACTTCCTTGCACCAGGCAAACACCCAGTGCTGTGCTTCTATGGGTCCATCCCTCCAACTGACCTGCCTCTCTCCTGGTGCTGCAGGGCCCCTCCCGCAGGGCACCACCACCAACAAAGCTAGCTAAGCCTGCCCCTTCCGCCCCTATGCACCTTGCAGATCCACCCCATCTAATAAGCCCTTGGCCAGATCCCATTGAAGCAGCACAAGCCTGGCAATGTGTAAACAGCCCAGACAGGGGCCACACCACCCCACAGTGAGTCCTGCCCC